ATTGAATGCAACCACTGTTGTTTGTGTTATCTAGTTCATCGATTTCTCTATTGTGTAAAATTGTTATTAAATTGAATCTTGAGCACTGGTCTGAGGTTATTTAATAATTAGGGTTAATTAAAACGCTGGTTTCTAACTAACTAAAATTAAGGACAAATAGGAATCAATTCCAACGATGAATATTCAAAATATGAATTGAATTATCATTGCATCCATGATCAATGGTGATTTTTTTTACGGTGGATGTGGACTTAGACCAAGGTTAGTCTTTTGATTATTTTCGTTAATTTAATTTTCATTGTTATTGATTACGTTATTTATAATTGTTTGCATACAAAAACCCCCCAATCATTGTACGAAGCAATGAATTGTTCACTATAAAGATAATAGAAAATCTACCACTGCTTACTTTTTTACACTTGGTGACAATTGCATAACTTGGAAATCACAATTGCAGTCAATGGTAACATTATCTAGTACTGAAGCTAAATATGTTGCTGCTGAGACTGTGAAAGAATGCACCTGGTTAAAAGGAATTTTAAATGAATTGAACTTTGTGCATGATACTCCCATTACGTTTACCGACAATCAGAGTGCACTTTAACTTAGTGAAAATCTTGTATATCATGAAGGTCAAAACATATTGAGATTAGTATCATTTTATTAGGGAAAAAATCTCTGCAGGTGAAGTTAATTTGTGCAAAATTCATACCGATAAAAATCCCTCATATATGGAGACAAACGTTTTATATGTTGCAAAATTTAAGTCATGTTTGTCTATACTGCATATTGAAACTGGTTAAATTTTTTGCAGGTATTGGGCGATGATGATGGACTATAATTTTCATGTGTAAATTCAGCAACTAGAGAGAGTAAGGTGTTATTGAGAACCAATGTGAAGAATTGAAAGTGTGTGCTTCTCAAAAACTATTAAATTGGTGCTATTTATGAAATTTGCCTTGGCTGATTATTTGATTTATGGACGACCCACGTGGCAACCTCTAAATGATTCTTTGGCTATGTCATGGATTGTGCTAGTTGAGGAAGGATATTAACTATCTGATCAAATTGATGGCTGAGATTTATTCTTGGTATAAACGTTTCATTTAATGAGGTTGGACGGTTACTGTAGAGGCATTTTTTATTTTTCTGCTGTCTCTTCTGTTTCTCTCTAGATTCTTCGTTTTTTAGAGGGTTTTCTTTCTTCTTCTTCTTTTTCTTTGGGTTAAAATCCTTCTATGTAACTCTAGTTTTTGTGATTAATCCTGTAATTTTTGTCCTTCTACAGTAACTCTAGGCCGTGTGAAGTCTGTATTGTTCTAAGGTTTGGTTTAGGACTAGTTAAGGTTGATTGTTGTGAAGGGTTTTGTGTCTTGGTTTTATAGATCCATACAGATCGATGATCAAACCATAGGTTTTGAGTGGTTTGATGTACACTGTACTCTCTCTTCGAATGCTGTTTTGTACTAGTGGAACGGGCCATAGTCCCTGAGTCCCCCAGACTAGGCATATTGGCTCTCCAACATGGAGTTCCTTGTTACCTCGGCCACTTGCTTCACCTTCTTCCTCACCTTGTCTCCCTTTTCCCCTTCCATAAGTTCTTCCACTTTATTCTTCAAGCTCTCCGCGGGCACAAATTTGTTGCCCGACCCATTAACTGTTTCAACCAGTAACCCGATTTTAATCTCTTCCACTACCGTTTTTGCATTTAGGGGTTGCTCCGCCATCATTGGCCATGCCAGTATTGGAACTTCTGCACTTACGCTCTCCAACACCGAGTTCCAGCCACCGTGACTCAGAAATCCCTACATGATTTCGTGTTGAAGAATCCATTTCGGATCAACCCATTCATTTACTACGATTCCTCTTTCCTTTAACCTGTCTTCAAATTCGTCACATAATTCTATTCCATTCTTTCTCACTACCCACAAAAAGCTCACTTTCGATTTTTCCGGGCCACGTGTGATTTCTGTCAACTGTGTTGATGATATTTCTGCTTGGGACCCGAATGCAATGTATAGAACTGGTTTTTCCTTGTGTAATACGGGCTCCATTTTTTGTTGTCAGGCTATACACAAGGGTCCGATACATAATACTTTGGGTTTAGAATCACGGTTCCAATACTCTGCATACAGTGGCTCGAGCTCGTAGAAACTGTTCACCAATAGACCATAACTTTTGGACAGGGCTATGGCCATCTCCATTACGAAGTCGAATAGAGGACCTGACACGCCAAAACGGGTAGTCAAAGCCATTCCTAGTGAGCTTAATCCTCGGAAAGCTGATGAGAGTGAAGGGTTCGTCGGCAGACTCGTGTAGTGACAGCAGCCCATTGATGTCTGCATCTCTGTTAATTGCGTTCACGTAGTTGCTCATACCATTGAATCCCAGCAGCTGAATGCCAAATTTCATGGCAGATTCCACCGTCCAATGGAGGAACTGATCTGATATGATACAGGTGACGAGGAATTTTTTGCAATGAACTTTCAAAGTAGGGCAGCATGAGTTTCGTAGCTTTGGCAAAGGAAAGGAAAAGTGACACGGACGAGAGTTTGTCCGTGCTCTCAATTCCGGGGAATTCCGGGAATGTTCCCTGGAAATGGAAGGTCTATGATGGTAATATCATCGCTGGAACGTACGGGCGGTTTTCCGGGGTGGTGAAGAGGGTTACCGCGCTGCCGCGGTCGAGGAAGAGGCGAACAAGGTGAAGAAGGGGGATAGTATGGCCTTTGGACATGAAAGGAAATAGAACCACATTTTCTTGTGTTTATGGAGGAAATTTTTATTTATCACGAGCTGGGTGTAGGTAATTAGCACTGTCGTCCAAAATGAATTAAGAAATCTTCCATATATAATCCTACTATCCATCTTTAATTAATTTATTATTGAACACAATAAACATTGATTAATAAAAGATGAGGCATCTATAATTTTTAGGTAATTTAGCCTCTCTTTTGTTTGATAGGGATTAAAATTCGATTTTTAATAAATTATGATAAAAGGTAATGAGACGTGTGGTTGAAACGTTGTGAGTCCCATAAAACATATAAAACTTTGATTTAGATTAAAATTTAGATCTACATTTCTATGCCTACAATTTTAATCACCATAAATTTTTTCATAGAGTAATGTTACTTTGCCAGAAGTGACACAACACTTGTTTATATCAACATTTAAAAGCCGGTCTTACTTGAAAAAAAAAGGTAAAAAGTCAAGGTTAAAGCATCAAATATGGGTGAACGCAGAGACAGAGATAGGGTGGGGGGCGGTCATTGTCCTCTGGTCCACTATTCCTACTTAATTTGTAATGTATTTTTCAGTTTTGTTCCCGCAAAAATTTTAACTCACTCCCAAAAAATTTGGAAACTTTTTTTTCCTTAATAAATATTAACCCAATAACTTACACTTTAAAATTCAACCTTATAAAAATTTTAGACCTAAACAAAAGATCAAATNCTTTAAAATTCAACCATATAAAAATTTTAGACCTAAACAAAAGATCAAATAATTACTTAAATAAATAAATAGCCCATATCCAATCCAAAAGCAAATGACCCATTTATGAATCAATTACCCAAAAGCATACCCACAGGCCACAGCCCACAAAATGTAATCCCGACTACAGACAAAGAAGGTTACATACGAGAGAGATTTTTTGATTTGGTTCATGTTGAAGATACTAAATCATCAACTTTAAAGAAGGAGATACATAGAGTGCTCTTTCAACATAACCTTAACATACAAAAAATCCGTGGTCAAGAATATGATGGAGCTAGTAATATGCGAGAAGAGTGGAATGGATTGCAAGCTTTA